GGGGGGGGGGGGGGGGGCGAGGGGTTCAAGGTTTTGGGCAGTGACTGTCGGGCCTAAGGGTTTGAGTCTTTTGGTTCAGGGGCCTTGTGGTTTTTGGTGTCCCCACCCTGCATACATGCTTGAACATGCTTCCCGAAAAGCCCAAGATCCCCATCCTCATTCTGCTGAACTCCCCAGCCTGTTCGCGATGTCCATCGGGAAGTACTCTCCCTGGCAGCTCTCTGACTCCGGGCTTCGGGCACGAGGACAAGAAAGCGCAGATTAGGGCTTCTGGAGCGAAGAATAGATCAAAACTAGTCCGAGGAAGTAACTTGAGCACTGCTTGACACCTTGACCGGGAAGCATACCAATCAACTTCATACCAACACAGATTCCCATGCGTATCTTCCATTGCTACCCTTGTACTCTGTCAGCAGCTACGGATTGCAGTGTTTGCAGCCACACCTGGTACTCGCAAGATGCCCGACTCTACCACCCTCAATCTCGACTCCCACCGGCCCAAAAAAAAATAAGCTCTAGGGAAGATGCAAGCGAAGAGGAGGACGACCTAATGAAAACCTCTTGAACACACTAAAGCCCAAAAGCCAAAATGCATCCGTCATATCACCTTGTGACAAGGTCAGGTGCCGAGCAGATGAATCGTTAGAACATGCGTTTTCACATCCCTAAACCCTGAGATTTGAAGCAAAAATCACAACCACCAGGCCGCCGAGTAGGCCAGTATAGAGGCCGTAACAATGAGAAATGAGTTTTTGGGGAGGATTCTAGTATGTATATATATATATGTATTAAGGAACCCTAAGGAATGATATTGGTGGTAGCTATTCAAGGGCTCACGCGATAGCCTTAGCGTCACCGTGTGACAACAAGCCCGAGCCGAGCCATGCACTAGTCTTCAGCGAAAGGTTCGGAAGCCCTGAACCGTTGAAGCCCGACATACCCTAAACCATTAAACACAACCTTTCAACAGAAGTCCTGCCTTGACCACCAGAGGCAAGTTCAGAGATCCGAAGTTGGGCACCAGCCGATTGAAGGTCGGAGATCTGACCACAGGAAAGAGTCTTTTGCCAGGACCGCGGGTTTGGAGGCAGAGCAAAGGGATTTTGGGGTGCGGGGCCTGATGCCAAGTTGCTACGTTTGCTCAATCTGAAGAGTTTTCAGCTAGCGCAGTGCGCAGCACTGCGGATGCCTCGTGTAGACGAAAGCTGTCGCAGAAGATGTCAACAGACGCGGATCGCCGGTGCCTCTAAGAACACAGTCTCGCTAGCGGCTCCCAAAGATAGGGATGTCAGGAAAGGATCCCATGCCATGCTTCAGAGTGTACCAGCTTCTCGAAACATCGTTACATTTGGGTCTACGACATGTTACAACCTCGGGAATTCAGGGTTTACGGGTACTCGGTATGTGGTCGAATCGAACCAACGCTCTGCGATCATTACGAGCGACTCGGGAAGTGTACAATTCCGTGGGGGTGTCGTGCTATGTCTGAAGTCCTTGGAAAGCGTTGGGCGGGTCACCATCATTTAGCCATGCAGCACGCACCACATAGCTAGTTGCCGGCCATGTTCTGTGTGAGGACTTCTATCTTGCGTACAAACTCCTGACCCCATGTCTTCATAAGCCTCTCATCATCACGAAACACTTCATGTTTGCAGGTTATCGGGGGAGGCTTGCCAGTTATGATGCCAGTATGAGTGCATTCAGTCAGGTCGTCATTAAAATAGTCTTAGCTAGACCTGGACTGCCAGTACTTAATATAGTCGTGCGTCTAGGCTGACGTCAGAGGCTTGCGTGTGTATAGGTATACATGCAAAACTCGGTGTGTGCATATATGCACACAAGAACATGTACATCTACATGCGCGTACACAGAGGCATGTACCTATTCGCTCTATCGCACACATCTACCTAACTACAGGGACATACCAACAAGCTGAGGATGCAACGACCAGTTCTCGGGGCCAGTGTCAAGCGAAATCCGATCTCTGAGTAAAGACGACCTCGTCCGTCGGCTTGACTGTTGGGATGCAGGGGTTGGGGGCTTGGGGTTCAGGGTTGGAGGGGTGAGTGTAGGGTATGTCAGTATGTCTTGTTGATGGCGAAAACGTCCCTGCACACTGCTCCGTAATCATGTTTCCTGAGAAAAACTTCCTGTTTGTTCTTGATCGGAAAACTTCTGAAAGAGGCAACACTTCCGTGGGATGTTCCGCGGTGGAAAAGTAGCCGGGGTGACCAACAAAAGCGTGTAAGATGTAAGCAATGTAAGCCGTTAGCAAAGTCTTAGATGAGGATTCGCGGCCTCGAGCTATCGCCAACTGCTGGGATTCTGCCGTCCCTGATGCGGACTTCGACATGGGAACATACTTGAGTTGACGAGCCCAAACCCCGTAACCACACAGTACCGACTATCGCTAAACCCGATCTTTAAGCGGCGACGGGTTGCACATCCCCAGAACGGAAGAGCGACTAGCCTTGAGGAATCTGAAAATAAAGCGCCTCGCCTAGAAGCCAAAGATAATCATTGATGCTTCAAAGCACTCCAAGCCCTTATACGCCCAACCCTAAACCGAAAAACCTGTAAGCCCAAAACCCTGAAACTTCAACGACCCGATCTCAACCCTACTGAAGCCCCCAAAGCCCTATCCTGAGTCTTAAGGCACTTTTCTACGAGGCTCCCGGTAGATGTTGAGCTCCTGGCTCTTTTGTCGCCCGGGGTCAGCCAGTCCAGCTTGCCGGAGGCCGAGGCTTCGGACCTTCGCAGGACTTCTTAGAGGGATGTAGAATGGTTCCGAAGGTATACTTGTGGGGCTATAGTGGTTTATGGGGGTTTGTAAGGGTTCTACAAGGGGTTTGTTGTGGTTTTATCGTGGGCCGAATTGAAAGGCTTGATAAGGTTTTACCGTGGTTCTTGAAAGATTTCATATGGTTTTGCCCGGGTTCTAGAAGGGTTGCTGAGACCGATTTTTCAGGTTTCTTCGGGCATTCCGGCTTCAGGGAACTGGTTTTAGGTTCTGGGGCTTGTGGCTAGGAGTCGATGTGTGTTTGGTATGGATAGTATGGATGTCAATATGGGGCCTCCTGATGGTCAGAAGGTCAGAAATGTGTAGCACAAGGTTTTGGGGGCCAATATAGAAGAATATTTCATACAATGGGGTTCTAGTAATACTACTCAGTCCGCAGTTGCATATTAGGCGGTTCAGAGGACAGCGTCTAGGTGCAGGTTGGCATGGATGGCAGCTCAGGGCGTCTTAAATTCAGGTACCTTCCTTGGATTCAGACGTAGAGACCCGCTTTAGAAGCGCACTCCCATGGCACAGACGTTTGTGCAAAGACAAACCCCAGAGCAGCTCCAGCTTCCCGGAGCAAGGGCCGGGGTGACTGGGCCGAAAGCCGGCTGGTCCGCGACGCAGAGGACATCATTGGCACTGAGGAAGATGGCCTCACAACACACTGAAATTTCTGTCATCTACCCCAACCAAAAGCCAGTCGAAGCGCAGGCTTCTTGCCTCTGGGGCCGAATCTTGTCGCACAGCTCATTTTCTCGCACACAGTTCAGCAATTTTGTCGCCGCGGAAGTTTCGCGGAGCGGTGGCAAGTTCGTCTTTTAAGACAGGGCTTGCTTCCTGGAGGCTTTCATCATCTTGCCATATCATATGACGTCTGAATCAGCTCTGTCATGCCTCTTCCGTTTCAGGAAGGACAACCTGTCTGCTATTTCCAGTCAAGTCAGAACACTACAGCACCCGAGTCACTAGTCTTCACCCTCACTGCCCGGCTCCAGATCGTACCTCAGTCGGTGCGCATGGAAACCTAGTGGGTTGAGGCTGACAACACCAAGCCAATCCCTGAAGTTCTGTGGTAGTAGCTAGAACCCACAACCTAAGATCATGCGAGCCAGGAATCGAGGCGCGAAACTGTGAAAAATTACTCCAATGAGCAGCCAGGAGACCTGCACTTTCGGTGGCAGGCCTTCTCGGCGGCAGAAATGAAGGTGGCCTTCCACGAGTAGCAGTTCGTTTGGAAGCCTGCAGCGTGAACCATGTGCCAGGCTTCGGAATGCATGCTTCGCGCACAGATCCGAGAAAGGTGAAAGCTCTCAAAATCAACATGTGGATGATCATTAACGGTATGATATGGCCGGGGGAGGACAAGTACAATAGCAACATTATAGGACTAGGACTAGGACTATGGCAGGGCCTAGTGCTGGGGCTGGGGCTGGATTAGGACTTGGACTGGGACTAGGACTAGCAGTAGGATCGGGACTTCGTCGTCGTCGTCGTAGTAGTAGTAGCAGCAGCAGCAGCAGCAGCCGCAGTAAAAGGTAGTAGTAGTAGCAGTGGTTGTTGTTGCCGTTGTTGTTGCTGCTGCTGGTTGTTGTTGAAGCTAGATGCAGGAACAATGGTAGGAGCACAAGGAGAAATAATGAGAGTGAGTAGAAATAGGCGGAGAAAGAGCATTCACATCCAATCGCCGTACAGCGACAAATGAATCAGTGCCGAGGTGCTGTCATCGTGGCACGAGATGCATTGGCCCCAAGTCCCATCCGTCTGAAGAGCACACCGGGCTCCCCTCACACACCAATCCTGAGAGTAGCATCGGGAGTTGGGGCAGTTGAAGCCGGTAGCTCCGATCGCTGCCAGCCGGAAGTCGTCCTCCCATTTCACGCAAGACTCTTGGAATTCCTTCTTCGTGAGGGGGACACATTGTGCCCAACTGTCGTCTGGCTTCGACACACAGACGGTGGACATCGGACAATCCTGATCATACTCGCATTGGACCGTTGAGCAATTCATGCCAATCTCCTTGATGGCAGCATCACGTAGTCTTCTGTCCCAGTACTTGCACTCCTTCTGAAAGGTGTCGTAGTCCAAGGGAACGCACTGACTCCAACTTCGATCCTCCTTGAATACGCATGTGCGATTGTCCACACAGGAGCTGCTGTTCTCGCATCGTTCTGGCTCTTCGAAGCTGTCTGTTCTTTTGGTCTGGACCTGTAGGGCACTTAGCGAACAGGAGGAATCATCCGAGCACTCGTCATCTGCAGCCAAGGCTGCAGCATCCTCTGCTGCCACACTTGAAACACTGAGGAGGCTCAGGAGGAGAAGCGGAAGCCACGGTGCCATGTGCTTCAATCGAGGTATGTACAAAGCACTTTTTTCAGGGAAGTGTGCCTGGAATCAGGCCGTAAAAGAGTAGCTTGATCCAAAGTGGTGCAAATGATGTGGGCAGCGATACATCTGAGATCGAGCCGTGTCATATTGGAGGACAGGCCGTGCTCATAAGCTAAGTTAATACAAGGTCGCGCACATGTTCTGCGATGCTCGCTTAGGCAGCCTCGGGCAAACCCCGTGTCCACAATCGGAGTCTGCAGCCGGTCACCGACGACTTCGACAGCTTCGGGAGGTTGAGACTATCGACACAGACAAACATCTCATGTACTCCAACAGCCCGAAGCACCAACCCTAAGCGCTTCTGTATATATATATATGTATATGTTATATACATATATATATACACAAAACATTTCTATACATGTATGTACCTGCATATATATATATATGTATATATATATGATTATGTATCTGCATATATATATATATGGGTACCCC